ATCTTTTAAAATTTCAAAAGATTGATCTCTGTTAATAATAAAGAAGAAGAGTAAATCCTTTCTAATTGAATTTTGAGAGGATTATACTTAATTAAATATTTTTTATTTTTTATTTGAAGTGGAGTCTATATGTACATACTACAACAATTTAGGAATTATGTTTAAAACAACTCTAACTTAGTGAATTAGGTTAATGAGTGCCTCAGTTGAGGAAAAAACTTTGAAATTCACACAGGAAAGAGAAGTATAATTTCAACTCTCAAGAACATTAGCTTCGTTGTCTGGTAATTTGTCAAGGTCCGTAAGAAATGAATCAACTAGAGTTACCTGTAAATCAACCAGTAAAAAAATAGAAGGTTAAAGGAAATTCTAAAATAAGCATTCTGAGAAACTTAAAGGCAAAAGGAAATTATAATAAGAAGAAAACTAACCATCTGGATTCGCAATGAGTCTTTTAAGGTTTAACCCTGGCCAACGAGATAAACGAAAACAAATTGGATCTTCAAATCTCCTTGTTAGAAGTATGAAGAAACCCTAATCTAAAAGAAAACTACTAAAATGGGTTTTTTTTTTTTTTTGTTTCAAAGGGGTAGAGCAAAAAAAGGGAGGGTTTTTAGTAAATTACAAAAAAAGTTTCTTTTTTTTTTTTTTTTTTGTTTCAAGGGGACGAGCAAAAAAAAGGGAGGGTTTTTAGTAAAATACAAAAAAGTTTCTTTTTTTTTTGTTTCAAGGGGTAAAGCAAAAAAAGGGGAGGGGGACTCCAGTCATATGTCTTTCTAAGATTATCTTGGCCAGTAGGGCAGGAAGTTGATTTTGAATTTTTTTTAGGCAAACTTTATAATACAAGAAACTTTTTGGTATTTCATATTTTAAATTAATAAAAATACCCAGTAAAACCATGCTAAATATAAAACATATTTCTTTATCACCACATTTTTATTGTCATATTAACATTCGAAAAAAATCAAAATTTAAAAAATTAAAAAATATTTATATAAATATTTTATGACAAAATGAAATTTTAAATATTTTATTATAAATTTTATTTATATAAATACTGAATTGATTAAAGGTGTAGAATAAAAAAAAGGATTATTTTCATATTTAACTCTATTAGAAAGTCCGATTAAGAGCAAAAACAAGTAGAAGTTTTTGGTTCTAGGTTTTATTTTATTTTTTTAAGTTGTTTTACTTTTTGTGCCGTTTATTTCTTGCCAAGCGATTGGGCCTTTATATAGGCCCGATAATCTTTTTCCTTTTGAACTATAGAGAATTGACTACGTTAGGTCGAAACCCACTTAAAACATTGATTATCTTTTTCAAATTTAATTAGTCTCATGGATATAAATTCTTCATTAACTATTTATAAAAATGATGATTGAGCTAAAATTTGATTCAAGGTGTGTTTTTTATGAGTTTTTGCAAGGGATGATGGTTCAATGGTCAATAGGTGTTACATTTAATTAAGATAAATTTGAATTTGCTTGGCATTGATTTTTGTTGCTGAGGCATTGTATTTGAAAATTGAAATCTTGATTGGGAGAGCTTTAACTATGTTTAATTGATGTCTTGATATAGTTATTCCTTATTTGTTAATTATTCAATTAAATCAAGTTCTCCTTTTCAATTGAGGATTCCATGAGTAGGGATTGAAAGTTACCAGGAAACAAGCAGTAGAGAAGAAAATCCCAACTGTCATGCTTCATCCAAACCTTTTCCCTCTGCGGGTAAGATTATTAAACTTGTTTGCATTACATTACAATAAATAAAGGAAATAATCCTGGACTAGACATAATAAACAAAGTTTTGAGAAGTGACACCTATTGTTGGGCAGGCCATTGGGCTGTCTCCTAATCCAAAATAAACACAAATGAAAGTATGCAAAATATTTTCTACCGCCAGAAGTCGAACTTGGAATTTCAAACTAAAGAAATTAAACTGTTTGTGCTACAACGGGAGTCATATGCCAATGATTTTATACAATTATGGTAATGTCAGTTATATCAAAATTTCTTTACATTGAACCTGGAATTTTAGGGACACCAAAACCTAACCAGGTGGCATAATCATAATTAGATCCAGGCTCAACCCTGGATTGCATCAAACCGTAAAAGCGATTTTAACTTTGGTTCAAAGAAGGGCATAAATCAATCCAAGTTCCAACAACTTGAGGGCTGCGTGAATTGGTGGTCCATGGATTGATTTCTTATTTTCTTAACCTCGAATCATGCTAATCCCCATTATTAGTAAATAATACATCATTGGTCATGATTAGATGTCATTCTCCAAATTTCCTGAAAATCCTTTCTTAAAAAATGTTTAAGATTAAAAAAAAATCATCTATAAAATTTGGGCTAAAAAAATTAGTCTAATGGTCTAAATTAAATCTAACTCAATACAAAAAATTAATTCTAATTGAGTTAAAAGTGATTAATTAGTAATCAAAGTTAAAATGATAGATCATAATTGGAGCTCAAATCGAAATGGGACCATTGAATTCATATTATTAAGGGTTTGATTGAAAGAAAATATCCATGATACTTGGACTTAAATTAAATTTAAGCCTTAGATAATCCAATCTGAATATAATTCCACAATCGTCAACCTTTGCTAGAGAAAATCTAGCTTGGTAACTGATATGGACAGTTACCAACATATGTGCATTTGGTGCTTGAAGGATATTTAGCACAAGGGTTGAGGCAAGGCTAAAATTCAATCAAGGAGATTTCAATATAATGGAATTTCTTGTATCTAGGAAAGCTACCAAAACAAAGGGTTAGTGGAGGAGAAAGTTTAACGCTAGTGAAGATTTTTCAACCTTCATCTAAACCAGTTACTAACATTCATGCACTCAAAAAGGTTTGGCCTCAAGGTAAGGAATTCAAAAATTCTTGACAAAAATATTCAACAAGCAATTACATAGGATTGAGAGCCTTCCATCAAACAGTTTTTATCAATTATTGAGTATGCAAAAACAAGAAAGTTAGTGTGCAATAATTAGATTAAGAACTTAAAAAAAAAATTCATGTATAAATATGAGTTATGTATATGTAAAACTAGTTCTAAAAATTACAATCATGTAATTTTAAAAATTACCTTATCTTTTTCATTTTTTTATGCTTTATCATTTATCTTTTAATATATTATTTTTACTTTTCATGCACTTAAGCTGTTTTTAACTTAGAAAATCATCTAAGCTTGCTTTTTTGGTTGCCTATTTTCATTACTGCTGGAGTTATGAATGGTGAAAATCTTTTAATTTTAGAATAATCAAATCACTGTAAAATTTACTTGAAGAAATCAACCAACATAAGGTAAGCTAATTTAAAAACCCTTTCCAAGCGCATCTTTCACTTTTTGCATTATGTTGAACAGAATTAAGAATGGAAATATTCAAGAGAAACTTAAACACACAAAAATTCAGTAAATATTTTTACACACAAAATTAGAGCTTGTCTCTTTATAATAACAGGATACAAAGCAATCAAGTATTAACAACCGATAAAAAACAAAAGCAATTGTCAAGGCATGAAACTAACATGCAATATATCAATGTATCTTTGAGTTTTTTGTAATTTCGAAACAGTGTCCAGATCATCGTAGTTAAGGGCTTCGATATCAGCTAGGTCACCATTAATATCTTTTTTCATGTTTGTGATATTATTATTTTTTTCTCCTAAGAGATTGATATGAATATGACTGATAATATTAATTATCAATTAAAAAAAAAGTTAAAATTCACAAAGGAAAGAGAACTATGATTTCAACTCACAAGAATTGTTAATATTAATTATCAATTAAAAGAAAGCTGAAATTCACGAGTTTTTTCCCAAACAAAGGTATTTTGTAATTTATTCCTTGATGTGGTGTGCTTTTAGCACTTTATTCGCATAAGCGTGTAGTGTTGTACAGTTAAATTCTTGTCACCGAAAAAATTCCACGTCACTTTTCTCTCTCCAATCCCCCTATTCTCTAGCTTCCTGCAATTTCGGTGAGTCTGTGACTATTTAATTTCTCTTTCATTTTTATCTTTTGGCAACAACAAGGACATTGGCTAAGAATGAAATAATAGCCTCCAAAAATGAAAATATTGAGAAAGTATAACGAAAAAAATCCAAATACAAAACAATTTAAGGTATTAAGCTTTGTTGTTTTCCTTCTAAATCTAGCAATTCCTGTATGCAATGGATAATTCTCTTTCATAATAAGAAGATACCTTAAAAAATTTTAAATAATAAAAATACCCTTTGACTAGATTATTTGAATGGTTCTCTTTCATTGATGGTGAAAGCAAAAAATCACCATTAAGCAAAACATTTCCAAGATATAGCCTCTGTGGATGCGGGTAAGATTTTCAAATAAAGTAAAAGATCTTTGAAAATTACAAATCAATTGTTTCAAAAAAAAAAAAAAAAAACACGAAACAGGAAGAAAATTGATATAAAAATATACAAGGATTTTACGTCGGTAATTAAAACAATCTAATATATTGGTTTCTGTTTCTAATTTTTTTTTCTCAACCATAAAGATTATTTTTATTCATAAAAAGTCAGGTTGAGTAATTAATCGGTTTGATTTAAAAAAATTAATAATCAATTTAATCAATTTTTATTTAATAAATAATCGAATTAATTAAATATTTTTAAATAATTAATCATAATAAAATTGATCAAAATTAATTCGATTCGATCGATTCAATTAAATAATTAATTTTTATATTATTTTTTATTATAAATAATTATTTAATCATAAATTCAATTCAATAAAATTTAAATTTAAATATCATTCAATTAAATGATTAAAAATTTTAATAATTTTAATAATATTTTATGAAATAAAAATAAATAAAAATATTTATCTTAATTTTTTATCTTTACTTATTAAAAAATTAATTAATTTGATTAATTTAATTATTAATTTTAAAAATTAAAAATTAATTATATTAATTAATTTAACCTTAAATCGATTATAATTAAAATCAATAAATTAAATCAATTTAATCGAATTCATTCAATGATCTAATCGGTTCAAATCAAAATTTCGCTCATCCTTATTGAAAACGTACAAGTTGATAAGAGCCTTCCCACGGCCAATCTCGTTGCCGCCTCGGATTTGCGTGCTTCACCAGTTGAATCGATCTTTTAAAATTCCAAAGAAAAGAACGGTAAAATGTAATCCATTGACGATTTCCCATTGCCAAACTGCAGAATTTTAAAAGTTGGGTTTTGTTTTTTTTCACGTGGAATCTCAACTGGAACGAATATTCTAGTCAACAGATCCACGCTGTAAGTTGAAGCCATTTTCTCTGATTCTATGTCCTGATTTTTCATTGCAAAAGCTGTTAGATTTCTGCTTGGATGCTTATTTGTTTCTGTTTCTGGGTTTTCTGGTCGCTGCCTTTATCTTTTCATTGTAACTTTTAATGGGTAGTGATTCCAATTGGTCCGTATTAAAGGAGAATCTTGAATTTTGTTGCATACCATGTTGTGCTGCTAATAATTTTGGCTCAAAGCTGTTTCATTTATGCATAAATTTTTTGTCTGGCATTACTTTAAAGGTTGGCTTTATTTGATTAATTGTATCAAGGGTTTGTCTGTGGGGATAATTGTTAGTTTAATCTGATTGTAGGAGTTTGTGATGGTTTTACTCCTTTATTCTTACCCAGGTTTCTAAGTACAAAAATATTTCCTTTAGCGGATATACTTTCAATTAATCAACTGATGAAAAGACATGAAAAGATATTGCTAACTGAGGTAAACAAATTGGAAAGATTTCATCCCCTCACATTCTGTGGCTGAAGTAGAAATTAGAGATATGTCGTAATGTTCTTGACATGTCCTGGACATCTAATCAGAATATGATTTCTTACTCTGGTTTTATGTTGTAAGGTTTGAGGTTACAGATACAATAGATAATCCTGAAGTCTGTGTGGTTTGTTAGTTTAACTAAGGGTCTGTTTTATTTTGGTGGTTTGTTAGTTTAACTAAGGGTCTGTTCTATTTTGGTGGTTTGTTAATTTAACTATGGGTCTGTTTTATTTTATCTATGGTACATAGGATGACAAACGTACATTTAACCTCAACGGATAAGCTTTTGTTCTATGTTATATCATTCATCCTGTACTTATTCAAAGTTGTACAGATTTTGGTGGTTAATACACTTTGCATCTAATATTTGAAAAGCGGCATGGTCATGAAACTAACACCTTACTGCTATAGTAGTTATCAAAGTATCTTGCCACCAAGCAACGATGCATTCTCTACTATCCGTAATACATCTGATCTGTGTAAATTTTTGGGAAATTTTGGTAGGATATCAATCACTTGCTGATATAGTTGTCTTACCCAAAGCAATGAAAAAGAACACATCTTTTAATTGGTAGTGGATTAGCATTTGTATTAATGTTTAGATTTTAACAGGTGAGATGGAAGAGAAAAAAATAAGCATAGATATTCCTAGGAGTGAAAGAAATGGAAAACCCAAAGTTCTCGATCCAGCATTTTCTGCATTTTTTGTTAAGCTACGTCGCAAACTTCAAAATTGTCTTAAGGTTAGTCATAGCTCTTACTTAGAGTGGAATTTATTTAATGGAAGGCTGTGTTGATGAGATGGGTTTTTCTCTATCAGAATTTGAATGATGAATCCCTGTTTTTTGTCACGTTCACAGCGCAACAGATTAGCAAAAGATAATGATGGAATAAAATCAGTGGACTCTTTTCTTCAGAAGGAGAATGGTTCATCTACTGGATTGGGGATTGATCTGGAGAAACAATTGCAAGCTTGGAGAGAAAATCCTTCATGGGTCAATCAACCTCCAGAAATAAAGGTAAAGAATCCTTTGTTTCGATCATGGTGTCTAATCGTAGACTACGGTTTTAACATTAGATCAGTCTAGAACATGACAAGTTCGTAGTACTATTTCATTCATATATAAAACATTGAAGAAAAATCTTGGTTTCTAGTTTTAAAGGTAATTATAAATCCAATGTTTGCACTACATTGCTGTCATCTTACATTCTTGATGGCTTTGTTTGATATTTTATCCTAAGGATCTGTCAATTTGCAAAGTATTAGAAATCTAATGTTATTCTTGGCAGGTCAGTGTACCAAAAGGTTCTCTTTGCAACCTTAAGGCGAAAGTTGATGTTGGGTTGCCCCCAGATGCAGTGTATAATATTGTAACTGATCCTGATAACAAGAGAGTGTTCAAAAATATTAAGGTGAGTGGTACATTTTCACCCACAATAGTAGATGTTAAGTTTTATATCACGGTACAACTACCAATTTGTGGCAATGAAATTCCTAGCTTCAATGTATCAAGCAGTTTTAGAAATTTTGATTTTTATTTAACAAGCTGATCTTCTGTTTCAGGAAGTGATATCTAGAAAGGTTTTAGTTGATGAAGGTCAAAGACAGGTGGTTGAAGTGGAGCAAGCAGCTTTGTGGAGATTCCTTTGGTGGTCAGGAACCATCTCAGTTCATGTTCTAGTGGATCAAAACAGAGAAGATCACTCAGTAAGGATTTTTTTTCTTATTATTTGATTTTAAAAAATCCATGAGGTAGCCTTCTCTTTAAGAAGGCAGACTTTGGTTTTTGTGTTGATGAGTTAACTTCAATGTTAAATGTTCTATTTTGGCTGCCAAGCTGAGTTAACTTCAACGTTAAATGTTCTATTTTGGCTGCCAAGCATTTAATATCTTTTGCTTAAACTTATACTGTTCAGATTACTCAATGCATAAGTTGATTGCAAAAAGATCATGCATGGTTTACTAGCAGTTACTCTTAATTCTAATGATGACTGTTAACAGATGAAGTTCAAACAATTAAACACGGGATTCATGAAAAAATTTGAAGGTCACTGGAGAATAGAACCTGTTTTTGTGGATGAGAAAACCTGCTTTCCTTTCAAACCTAAAACGTGGGCAGACTACTGTTCATGTACTGGGGGTAAAGGAAGGATTGGATCAAAGGTGAGCTTGGACCAACTTATTCAGCCAGCCATTGTCCCTCCCCCACCCATTTCTTGGTATCTAAGGGGAATTACTGCCAAGACCACTGAGATGTTGATAAATGATCTACTTGCTGAAGCTGCCAGACTCACGGGTGGCTGTGACTCTGAAAATTCAAACAAGGAGCTTAGATTATCTAAGGAAATAAATGAACATCACCAACTTGATCAGATATGTGACATTAAAGAAAGATGGAACTTGCGTAGGAGAAATGCAAAGCAGCATGGCAAGAAACCGTTAACTGCCCAATCATCTACTTTTTGATTGGTTCAAATTCATCTGTAGTCAGTTGCTTCAATATTTTATTTCAAAATTGTCCAACAGCATTGTAATGATGTTTCTATTTGAACTTTTGAAAGATTCTTCTCTACTTCAAAACATTTGTATCGCTTCTGTAATTCCAGTTCAATGTTAGTAAAGCGCGATTGATAAATTAAAACAAGAACATTGGCATCTTCAAACCGAGTTGTTATGTTTGGATATCAGCAGTCTTCCCCATCTCTTTCTTCCTTTATTGCATCTGGCCAGCAATTACGTTAAGTCTCTTGTTGAAGTTATAATGATTTTGAAACAAGTATTTGGACACATGGATGCTATTGAGGAATCTCATGGCATCAACTAGCAATCCAATGGAAGCTACTTGGTAACATTCTTGATAAACTTATATTATCAAGGTTTCATATGGGCGATAAAATTAGTCGCTGAGATTGAAACCAATGGTGGCGGTGACATTATGTGTGATTGGATACTGAGATCCAGGATGCTATTTAAATGGACTAAAGTCAATGGTGACAGTGAGATTGGATATTGAGTCCTATGATGCTTATCTAAATACACCTCAAGATGCGATTAGCCCCCCAAAAAATGTTGGAGTCTACTGCACAGAACTCCTAAGTGACCTTAAGTCATTTGAACTCGAAGCACGAGAAATAGATCTTGTCGAGCAAAACAAACCCGAGAAAGGTCATATAGTAGAATGGCAGTCGCACTAGATTCCAAGGCTTTATTTGTTTTGTGAAAGTTGATTACCAAGAAAATATTCAGAAAAAATTTTATTTTTTATGAAAAAGTAGAGATTTTTTATTGTTTGGATGAATAAATAAATTTTTTTTATTATTTGGCTGTTTTCTGAAAATTTTATTTTTTTTCAAATAATATTAACTATTAAAATATTAAAAATTATTTATAATTAAAATATATTGAAATTATTCATTATTAAAATTATTAATATTAAATAATATATATTTTAATAATAATATTTAATATTAAAATATTATATTAATATAGAAAATGCTTGAAAGAAAACTATTTTTATATTAATATTTTAAAATATTAAAAATAGTATTACTATTCTTCAAATATTATTTTTAATATAATAATAATAAATAGTAATATTTATTATTAAAATACAAAATATTATACTATTAAAATAGTTATATTTTATATAGAAAGTATTTATTATTAAATCATAACAAAAATATTATTAAAATAATAATATAAATACATTAATAAATAAGATAAGAATAATATCTTTTAAATTGAAAAAAAAATTAAAATATTTATTATTGAAAATAATAATTTATATTATTTAATATTAATTACTAAAATAATAAAAATATTATTTAGCTTGAGTATAATTGTACTCACGCACTTGATAAATAATCTTACCTATAGATTTTTTTCGATTTTTTTTTTCTTTTGAAAAGAGAAAGACAGTTTTCAAAAAAAAAAAATTTTTTTTTCACTGATCAGTAAATTATTTTTCATTAATCAACCAATTTTTTGTCAAACAAATACAAAAAGAAATACAAAAATCATTTTTCATAAATTATTTTATACAAAACATACAGAGTTGTAATGAAATGTATACATCCAGGAAAAATCTACATCAGAAATTCAGAAGAAAAGCAGTTTGAAGTAAATGATTTCATTAGAGAAAAAAAAAGCTACGTATATAGCACATGTAACATACGGAGAGATGCAACAGAATCTGGTCTAATTGTGAGATCTAACTGTCTTTGTTGTTCTCCAGTCGCTTTCCATTTACATTATTGTTCCTACAATGTATCAACTATGTTGCAGACCTGCATGGGTGCCTAGAGTTTTCCACAAGAATCACTTCCGCCTTGTATGCTGTATCAAAGTGCGAAGGAAGTGGCTGTAGATGCTACGTTCCGCGGACTGTACACTCAATACTTTCATTCCCATTTGGATCACTGTTTAATGAGCAAGAAATCTTATTTCCGGCAGAGGATGCGCTGATGGGGAACCTTTGCAGTATTTTATGGACCATCAAGCCATCAAGACTCTGATTCTCATAACTCATGAATGCACCCAGTGCCCCAAGAAAACCTTCATGCCGCAAAAACATTGCTTTGGCCTCACCTTTGGACCTGTGACATGCATTTCAGAGAAGAGACCAAGATAAATTAATTGAGAGTCATGGAAGATGGATATTGGCGAAAGCAAAAAAGTTGTGACATGAAAACTTCTAGGCAACTTGACCTGAAGTCTACGTTTGGAATCATGTAGCAGATAAGCAAGAGAAAAATAAGATGGCCAGCTCAAGAACTTATTTCACTTTTTATTTATTTCGAGGGAGTTCTTTGTTCCACCTTTTATTGAATCAAAGTTTGCAATTTTGTCGTCATTACAACTACCTTTGGAAAGGTAGGCTTTCACATTTTAATTTTCACTGAAAATTTCACTTAATGGATGAATCGAACTTGACAAAATGAAATCATTCAGCCATCAGCATCAAGTGTTGAAGAACAATCATTTGAGGTTCATGTAAGGGAATATATAAATGTGTTATGATGAGGACTGCAAATGAAGAACTAATACACTAATACTTACCAGAAATGAACAGCAACAGAAATTGTATCCATAGTATAGGCATGACCCTGAATGAAAAATCCCGCAAAAAATATCCGCTTAAGCCCAAATCGAAGTGCATTCAAGTAAGAGATCTGGGAAAAAAAAAGAAAAGAAAATGAGGCCAACAAAACAACTATTAGTATTAAATCTCTTTTGCTTTAATTTACTAAAGCATAATGCATATAGATCATGTTTGGTACACAAGATTAAGATAAGATAGGATAAGATATTATTATGAATAGAATTAGATTAAATAATATCATCTTATTTGTGTTTGATGTATGCAAGAATTAAAATAGGATAATTTGTTTATTTGTCAAAATTATCTTTCCTCAAAATTTATACAATTTAAATTATTTATATAATTTTTAAGGGTATAATTGGACATGTAAGTTTAATCCCATGAATTAAAAATAATCCTCTCCACTTGGGGAAGATTGAATAACGGTATGCCAAGAGGATATTAATCCTCCTTACAATCCTTATCCCTTTCTTTAGATATATAGGATGATTATCATCCTATCCTATCAATAATCCTATACATCAAACATGACCTATACCATAAGATACTAACAAGAAAGAAATCAAGAAAATATAGTTTTGACCCAACAGAAAATACAATCAGAATACTGAAGACCTAAAAGCTAGTCCCGACAAAATAGTACACACATAATTGGGTTAAAAACTTACTTGTACTCGTGATGATAGTAGATTAACAAAGCATAACCATATAAACCAATTAGGCAAAACAACAGCCTACAATCCTGATCCCGAAAGAGTTACTAATCCTTGGAATGATTGCCCAAACAAGGTACTGACTGACCAAGCATGGAAGCAATATCTATTATCATTAAGGCCAAAAGCCCTATAACTGCCAGTTTGATCCAACTTTCCATCTTAGTAAGCAATTGTTCAAGGTTATCACTGTTTTGTGATAAACATTTGATTTTCAATATGCCAGAAAACCATCATCACACCACAACTAACCTGACCAATATTATTTGAAATCATTCGTAAAAGGGAGCGGGAGATGTCTTCAGGTTTGTAATCTTCCAGCTCTTTATCATCAGAAATGACCTTGCCAAAGCTGGAAGCAATGGTTGTTGCAGAGAGACCAATCTGTCATTAGTAAAACGGTTGTGAAACAGTTTTTTATTATATGTCAGAAAATCAAATATCGAAATTTACAGACTTTTGTTATGTTGAACAAATTAAGGTCATGTTATATGAAAACTCCAACATACGTACATCAACATGGAGAAAGGGAAGTTCTCATAATCTAAGTTAGGAACTTATGATATAGACATCTCTGTACCTTTCCATAACCTGTTCCACCATAGATATCACCAACAAGCATATCTACAACTCTATTATTTCCCTGATGACTTAGCTCCAGCAACCCATCAAAACTGAGACAGAAAACACATTGGTTGTGAAACACTAAATGATAGGAAAATAAGATTAGACTAGACATTACTTCTCGTCCTTTGTCAAAAGCCTTCCCAAACCCCAAAATGTGCCACCTCCAAGGTTAGTTCCACTAACTCGCTCAAACTTGCCATCTCCATCTACCTATATACCCAAAAGACTGACAATCAATTATAGATATTAAAAGCCTTAGATATTACCAAAGCAATGAAGATGACAAGAATACCTTTATCATGCCAACACCAGACCCAATGTTAACAAGAAGATAAGGATACAAATCATTATGATCAATCGGAACAAATTCCTTCTGACCATCCAAGTATGTAAAAGCTTCTTGGTGGACTGCCTACCCAAAGAACAACATGCAGGTAGATATTAAGAAAAAAAAAAACACATAGAAGCTATTTGCTAACCCTTATTGAACATGTGACGAATATGTAAAATTAAAATTGTATTTCAGCAGCCATGAATATTTTCTATTGGTAAATATATTCCTCCTCCCTAAACAGGAAAAAACTACAGGGAAGTTTACATAAACTTTCAGAGAATATCATGACTGTGAGTATAAAATAAATACCAAAACCTTCCAGGTATAAACAATACTCTCTTTCGTTTTCAAAAACTATGACATGAGTACATTCTTAAATTTAGAGATCTAAGAAGACGAAAGAAGATAGAAGAAAACTTAAAAATCACTCCAGATATAGCTTGCTAAGATGCCATAAAGACTCGGAATTCATTACAAAACCAACTAGAATAGTCTCATAGCTCTCTCTCTATATTTAAAAATAAAGGAGCTCTGCCATCAAATAGACATTGCAACACCTGATGCTTTCTCCAAATGTGCAATAGCTCTGGAACTGATAATTGAATGGAATGTATGATTTGCAGTGAAATTTTTAACAGCTACCACAGCACATTTTTTATCTTAATTTCTTAAAACTCGGTTCAGATATCCACTTTGATGCCCTATGTTTCATAATATTTCCTGGAACAGCCATCGAATTTCCGGCAGGGAAAAAAAATTAAAGCTTGTTCTCAGTTATTTGTTTTGCATAATTTGCAATTCCTGTTCTCATTAGTTTAGGATTTTAGCTTTTCTACCTTGCAGATCCTGTCTCACTCACACACAAGCTGCCCATACCATAAGATAGTAAAAAGTTAACCAGTTAGACATGCTGTTGAATATGATAGATTAGCTAAAGGCAAAGGAGTCAAATTCTGCACTTACATCGTATAATTTGCTGTGTTGTTGAAAATATCATAGTCAAGAGACAAAGCCAAAATGAACTCAAATATATGAAACAAGCATGCATAATTTTCCAAAAAGAGAAAAGGGAATAAACATGAGCATACATACATATTCCAGAGGACAACAGAAAAGATTATTGGCTTCAAGACAGTTGCAGGTTAAAAGACTATTTATCTTACAAGAGGACTTTAATAAGAAAATTAAGAAAGACTCCAATTTGTACATACCAACATACATTTATGCAGTATCCCACCTTAAGCAAAAAATTTGCACCAGTCACAAGGCAGTCCATTTCATCTTCCTTGTCAAGAGTAATTCCAAGCTTTTCTTTGAATAGGTCAGCAAATTTGTAAGCACCACCGCCTGTCGCCTGCAAACAGGTATTAGCTGTGTAAGATATCTTTATACTGCAAAACATCCTTCAAAATACAACAGAAACAAGCAGTAAGAGAGAAATAAGTGCTCACAGCAGTAAATGGCTATAGAATTAAAACAAGCAGTCATTTAAATAAAATGCGAAAAGAGAAAAGAAAAGAGCATTAGTTACATGATTAGTTAATTAAATTTATCAATTAATAAGAATGGCTAGCTCCTATGTAGATTATAAAACAGAATATCTAGAAATCAATTGAACTTCTTCAAAAAACCATAGAAATGAAATTTTACCTTAATAAAGATCTTGTCACTGGAAGGAGCAGTGCAATCACGGAAACCTGAATCCACATTTATTAATAAGAAAACAAGCTGAAGCACTGTCAGGATAAAATGTGCTTCTAAAGCATATTCAGGAATAAGGACTTCAAATGAGCAATGGCAACAAACTTGTTCCCATGGTTAATAATGCCAGATGCTTTCCTAAGTACTAACCATTGAAGAACAAATAATTTCCAATAAAATATGATATTTTATTTATAAAAAATAGATTAAGGAGTTTTTTGCCCAAAGCACATGATCCTAACATGCAAAAGTAGGAATATCACTGAATATAAAATAGTGTTTCCAAGAAAATAATACATGATCTCTAAAATTCACCCTGAGAACTACGAAACAAATGTCTGTGAGCACCTTTTCTTTTTCTGGAGTAATATATTGCCAGTTGGGCCAATATGCTCTAGAGCCTAGAACACTTAAGCAAATCAAAACTGAAGTTAAGCAGCTCAATCCTCATGTAGATTCAAATAAGATCTAGAGAACCCTATTATTCAGCTCAGGTGGCTAAATGAGACCCTATGGCAGTTGGCAATCATACTGTCTCTTATAAGTTAAAAACATACTTCTTGATTATCACTCAAAATCTGCCAGAAGTTACTTATATTCAAGGAGAACTCTGTCTAAGGAATAAGGATTATAACAATCGCAAGCAAACATACCACCAAGGCAAAGTTTCTTGCAATGAATGAACTCCAAGAAATCATTTATCTTGCTAGTTTCAAACTTTGCGAAATGAAGCCGTCCTTCGAGAACAGGTTGACCAGTATCACTATCGGAAACACCAACACTCTCATTGTGAGACCTTTGCTCATCATCATCTCTACCACGATCATTATTTCTCCAGAAATATACCAATTTGATCAAAGATCCTGTCAACCAACATAGATGATTGTAATAAATGTTACTCTGAAACTTGAACTGTTAGATACTCTAAAAGGAAAAAGAAAAGGCATTATTATAAATATTTCACTCTTCTTTTCAGTGCATATCAGTACAATTGAGAAGGATTCGAACCTTAGACCCCAAACTCTTCTAATAACCGCTAGGCCATGTCTGGGAGGTTCCATAAATATTTCAGTCAGTTAGCTGAAAGAGCAATAAATCCTAAGAAAGAATTGGGAAACAGAGAACCACGGACTGACAAACAGATAAGCTAAGGTGGGGAAAGCGAAGTAGCTTTCAAGACATAATAGAGTAGTCCAAATCAACAAACCAAAAAGAATAAAAAAAAAAAAAAAACAGCGGAATTCAACGTAGTAAATAGAAAGAATTCAAATTGAATGAGAACTTGGCCCAGAAAAAAAGGGAAATGCGAGAAAATTCAAAGATCAAAGGATACGATACAAACCTCCTATGTCGAGAGCCAAATGGGATATTTGACTTTGGGGTTCAAAATTTTGTGGGTTTGAAACATCAGCGAGGAGATCCATATTGTTTGTTTCTTTCTTGGGGTGTTTAATTTGGGGTGGAGCTTCTGAAATCTTGAGCTGAAAAGCCAGAAGGCTGAAAGAAATAGGCCGCTTTTAGTCTCTGGGTTTCTGCACTTAAGTACCTAACCCATCTCACTGGAGAATATAAAAAAACACAGATTTGGTGGGTGGGATCTTATCCCAGATGAGAACAAAATTTTTGTTGCTTTTTGTCAAAATAAAACGCGATTGTCGGTGATGTTCAAGCAGAAATTTTTTCTTAGAAAAGGTGAGAATAACGTGAGATGTGATTATTGATTCTGTTAGTCAAATACTTTTTCTTTGACCTTCTTCAGTCTTTCGCCCATCAGACCATGATACCCAAACTCCTACAACTGAAATTAGCTCCTCAATATTAATAAATAGTTGTATCAATCGATTAAGATTACTTTTTGAATAAAGAAATTTTGAATTCAAAATTTATTGGTGAACGTTTATTAAAATTATCTTAAATATATAATTTATAATTATATGTCTTACATTATTAAATACACATATTTTATTTTAATTTAAAAAATTAAAAAAATTTAATTTTTAAAAAAAATAGAAATTAGCCCTTCGTCGATTTTTTTTTTTTTGTTTAATTTTCTCTTAAGGATAAATGATGAAATCCATTTAATCTTAAAAAAAAAAAAAAAAAACCTAGCACTGCATTTTGCTGTGGATTTAAATTTTTTATTTGTAATTAATAATATTAAATTTATTAAATAAGTGAGTATAATTTTGATTATAATTTTTAATCAAAATAATAATTAATAAAAATTTATCAATTAATTTATGGATAATGTACGTATTTAATTATCATAACTTATATAACAAATTAAATATAAATATACTCTTCTAAATTTATCTAGTCAAAAATATTAAAATGGATAGTTGAAAAAAAAATTAAAACTTACAAAACAAAAAGATAGATAGTTGAAAAAGAAAATTGAAACTTACAAAACAGAAAGAAAACCACAAAAAAAAAAAAAAAGAAAAGAGAAAAAGTTTATACCCGCTCAGTCTCTAATTTCATATCAAAGTTATTATTTTTTATAAATAATCTCGAACCGACATAATACATATATATATATATATATATATAAATCACATCCAATCTAATTAAATAAAATTAATTCAATAATACCACATCCATTAAAGCATTATTTTTTAATATAAATTATCTCTTAATTGTATATAATTATAGTATTTTATTAAATAAATATATTAAATAATTTATTAATATAATATATAAATTAAATTAAATAAATAATAAAATATATATTATATTTATATATATATATATATTTATATATACCCAAATGAGGTAGGGAAAAACATCTAAGCCGACCTTAAATCAATCTTCGATTTTCAAGAAAAAAAATTATCCTACCCTATCCAATTCTAATTAAAAAAATCGTTGTTATTGGATTAACGAATCAAAACTTATTTGACGTGGATTGTTTGGATATCTTTACTTCCGCTGACATCATTTTTTACAAAATTTTTATTTAAAAAAAAAGTCAAAGAAGGTGGGTACTTATATTGTCAAATTATCTTTCAAAATATAAATAAGAAATATTAAAATACATAAATAAAAAAAAACTAAAACTTAAAAAAATGGCCTAGATAAATAAAGAGCCGATTTAATGGGAAGTGGCTTAACTCTGACTTATTTTTTTACTAATTCAATCCAATTTTGATTATGATTTGACATCAAATTATCATTTATTAATATTTGATCCGGACCCATTACATATATTTATAATTTCGTATTTGACTTAAATTGATAAAAATTAATTCAATAATTTTAATTTAATATAATATTTATGAAAATATTATTTTAAATAAAAATTACATTTTAATTATATATAAATATATTTTTATTAAAATAAAATATTAAATAATAACTTTATTAATATAGTGTATATATAAAAATAAAAATAAATCAATAATGGATATATATTTTATATATACATAAAATAGTATAAAATATCCTAAACCTATTTTCGACCCAAGTTTATTTTTCATAAAAATAAAAACTTGATTCGATCTCAAAGTTTTAAAAAGAAAAAAGCACATATTATATCAAGCAAATAGAAACTCATCGGATATGGATTGTTTTGTTATTTTTACTTTCATTATTTTTTTTTTACAAAATTTATCTAATTAAAAAAATTAAAAACTAAAAAAAATGACAAAAAAGAAAGGAAAGCCTAATAATGTACACGTGAATTTATTAAGTTAAAATATTAAATAATAATTTTATTAATATAATACATATATAATTATAAAATTAAATAAATAATATATATATATATGAGGCAAGGCATAATACCTTAAGCCTGTTTTAGACATGACCTCAATTTTTTTAAAAAATAAAAAATTATGATACGATTTTGATTTTTTTTAAATGCACTTATATTAAATTAGAGTAAATCGAAATCATAATATATGAGTTATTTTTTCTTTTTTTAAATGCACTTATATTAGATTAGAATATATCGAAATCCATTATATATATATATATAGATTATTTTATCATCCTTAACTCTATAGATTTTTTTTTACATAGATTTACTAATAAAAAATAAAATTAAAAATATAAAAAACCAAATAAAATAAAAAAATTAAAAGTAAAATTTGAAGGGATGTTACTCCAAAACCTATAAAATTAATATTATGGATATTAATAAAACTAACTTTTTTGAAAAAAATTTTAAAAAATGGTTTGACAAATTTTTTTTAACTAGTATCATGATAAGAAACAATTAGTAAAAAATAACAATATATAAAATTAATAAAGAGTAAATAAAAATTAACTTTATAACTTTAATTTTTCATGAGTGCTAACTCAATATTATAATCAATTATTGTATGTATGTACAAATAAAATATATGCATATTTAGTTAAACAATATAAACAATTACCTTATACAACATATGTACATACAAACATTTAAGGTAAAACCCAAAAAATCTCTCAATATACCTCTAAAAAAGACACTCTGACCTAGTCAACAACTACTTAACCAATGTGAAAAGATATAATTAATTTTAAATAATTAAAATTGAAAAATTAATTATTTAATGATAAAAACATTTTTATTCAAATTTATCAACTCATAAGCAAATAAAAAAGAGATCCATCATTATGAAAAAAAATAAAAATGAAAAAAGAAATGAATTACTTAAGATTGTTTTATTAACAAATAAAATGCTCATTTTGGAGTTAAAAATATAAATCTGAATGAAAAAAAATTATTCAAATTAAATTAGAAAAAAAAAGAAGAATTTAAAATGAAAAAGAATTTTAAAAAATTATACCTAATTTATTGCTTGATTTGATAAATTTAGATAAAAGAATTTTTCATCATTACTTTATTAACTTTTATTTTTTTCGATTATGGTTTTCATCCTAGCGGTTGATTAACAACATTAGAATATGGTCAAAGGATCAAAAGTTGCATTTTAAAATAAAAAGAATTAAAGTATCTTTTAAAAGCATTTTGAGAGAGTTTTTTTTTAATTTTATTTTTTAAAAAAATCGCCTTATAATTCGTGAATATGATAATTTTCCTTCTTTTTATTTTCCTTGAATTACTTTACTTATAAATAAGCTCATACATATGAATTAATAATTAACTAGCTTCAAAAAAGTTGCAAAAGAAATGAATTCAAGAAACGTTTTAAATAGCTAAATCAAAAACTTGATAATTCGTTTATCTTAAATTGAAGTTTGATAAACAAGTCTAGAAACTTAAATTATGATGAAAGTGACTTGTAATTTATTAATTCAAATAAATTTGAAAATCACTAATAAATTTATTAGTTCATTGATATTAGAGTTGACTCTAAAAACTGAAAATCTAGAGTTCATATTTCAATTGCAACCCAAATATATATATATATAACACTTGAAAATCAAGTTCAGACTCCTATGGTACAGATCATCAACAAAGAAAAACTAACTTCAATGAGCCCCAGCGGATTTACAAGAAACTTTGTTCACTTTGGAAGAATATTCATGTTTATGTGTTCAAGAGAATAAACAAAGCCCTTACATTCTTCTGCGAGTAAAGTTTATGTAAGTAAGGCTAAATACTTTTATAAATTATTTTAAGTAGTACTCTATATATGTGATTAAAATTATAATAATAAAAAAATTAAGAAGATGGGAATAAGATTACATCAACTTTACGTTAAACGCTCTCTATTAAGCTTTAAGCTGCAAAGGGAGAAGGAATATAGGACATGGCTTGGTGATCAGGCATTGAAGCCATGAGTGATGGTTTTGAAAACGTTGTATGGTCTGCCTTTGAAACAGGGCTTTCAGCCTTGAAATCCAGAGACTCATCGTTGTAAATATCCCACCATTTAGCCACTGGCGTCCTGATGTCCTCTCTCTCCATGTTATCATCCTTTCCTGTATACCTCCAGGGTTTTGATCGCTATTTATTGTTTAATTTCCAAAACAAAACAAAAAAAAAAAAAAAAAAATGAAAATGCAGACAATAAGGTTGAATTTCCATTATTAGTTATAATTACGCCTATAAGTTAAAAGGTAATGAATTTGAAGAAGGCAAAAGAATAATAATTACAGCTACACAATAGTGGACCACCTTTATGGTCCACTTTATTTTTTCAAGCTCCACATTCTATGGGGGCGCCATAACATTGCAAGAACCAGGTTGTATGCAAGAGGAATGGGTTTGTACATTTTTTGGAAAAACATATTCAAGAAATCCTGTCCATTTGCAATCAACAAGAAAACAATAATTAAAAAAAAAAGACTAATTGATTTTGTTGATATACAAAATATGGAAAAACCATTTGATTTTGTTAATATCAAAATGGAATATGAAAAGGAAAAAAAAAAAAAAAAAAGGAGATAACTCAGTACTTGCCCTGCAAACGGCAAGGCTCAAACACGAACATGCCGGCGTTGAAGTAGGAAGGAGGAGGAGATCCCATCTCGGTCGGCCATGTCACCTTATCAGGGCACTGCTGGCGGTAACCAATGGAGTGTTGGAGCGATTGGCTCCATACCTTCTCACAAAAGCAGTCCATTACAGCATACAAGTAGCCATCTGGTATGTCAAGCAGATGGTCTATATTATCGTATAGTTGAATATCCGCATCCAAATAAACCATCTTGCTGTACTCCTCAAACTGTAATAGTTAACATCATCACTAGTCATTTAGCACATCTCATAAATATTATTAATATATATGTATATATATTTCAAATTTTAATTGCATATATATGTTAAGGTAGGATTAAAATCATGGTATCCTCATAATTCCTTTAAGAATTTAAAATTTAGGGTTTTACATGATTAAATCCTAGATTCTCA